GGCACATAACAACAACAACAACAACATAAAACAAATTTAGAAAATTCATCATCTGTAGCTGGAAGCACCATGATAGAATTGCTGTGATGAATGGGCAGCCCCATGATAGATGAGGAGGAGATTGAGGCTGTTCCCAGTTTAAGTTTGGTCAGTTCCACAGTCAGCACTCTTGGCACCCGCAGTCAGAAAATTTAAAAAGAAAACAACAACAACAAAACACACACACACACACACACACACACACACAACAAAACCAAATTGCACTGGGAAAATCTGCAGTCAGGGACCTCTCCAAAGTACTGAGAAGCAACATTGCCACTCTAGAGACTAAGGTGCACCTGATCCAGGCCATAGTCTTTGCAGTTACTTCCTATGCATTAGGCAAAGCATGACAGAAGAAGAATCAACGCCTTTGAGCTGTGGTGTTGGAGATTATGGAACATTCCATGGACCACCAAGGGAACAAAAAGGTCTATTTTGGGTGGGGGGCGAGGGGGACGAAACCAAGTTTCTCCTTGGAGGCTAGGATTTTGAAGCTCCGTCTCACATTCTTTGGACACGTGGCTAGGAGAGACCAGTTCTTTGAGAAGGACATCATGTTCAGAAGGGTGGAGGGACAGGACAGGAGAGGAAAGCCCTAGAAGAGATGGACTGACGCAATAACTGGGGCAGTGGGGGTTGGTGTGTCGGAGTCAGTGAGCCTGGTTCAGGACAGGACAGGGTTCCAAGCTGCTGTACATAGGGTCGCTATGAGTCACAGGTGGCTCGACAGCACTTAACAACAACAATAATATAGCCGGAAGAATGTGCTTGAAGATTCTTATCTATACTTTCCCAGCATGCCTTGTTGACTCCTCAAAGAACTAAGTATTTATAATGGTCCATCTATTTGGAGGCTTTGCTTCCAAAAATGAAATTCATTCTAAGAAGGAGGGGAAAGTACTCTTATCCCTGCTAGTCTGGGTCACCAGATGCCATGGAGCGTGGGAACATGACCCAGCACAGGCCTAAAACCAGGCAGTAGCCAGGGTGGTGTGGCTACCATAAGCTCCAGAAACTTCTGGAGGCCCCAGCACCTAGAATCGGATATCCTATAATGGCTTTCTGATCCTCCAGAGGAACCTGTGAATCTGTATGTTCAAGCCTTGGAATTGAAGGCAAAAATCTGGGGCTTTCCTCAAGCCTGTAAATGTCAACACCAGCCGAATCACTTGGTCCCCACTGGCTCAAGCCCTGAGGTGTGCCAGTCGGACATAGAAGGAAGAGTTAAATCCGAATGCTACTGTTTGGAACATCTACCCATTCAATGTGAGGTGACCAGGCGTAAGAGGGACCTTAGATATCAGAAACCCTAAGTTGGAATTGGGGTCCTGCCCTAACAAGCAGAGTATGTCTGCCCCGTCCCTATGAAGATAGAAGTAATCATGGCTTTGCACTGCCCAGGAGAAGGAGCTGAGGTAAAGAATGAGAGAAGGCTTGGAAAACTCTACCATGCAGTGGTGTGTGAGGATTTGGTGGTGTCATCTCACTAGTCCACTTTCCAAGGAAATGAAAGCCCTACTTTGGCAATAATCACATTCCTTTCCCCTTAGTTTATTCTCTGTACCCCAAGACTAGCCTGAATTCTGAGAACTCGCTGGCCTAGAGGCCAGAGAGACCCACCGTTCCCCTAAGTAGCCATAATTTCATCTATTCATTTTGTAATACCAGGAACACTTTGAACAAGGGCACCCTGGGCCTGATTTTGTACTTAGAGAATCACTGGTCCGGGGCGCGTTTCTGCTTCAGTTTTCACGCCAGGCGGCTTGCAGCTCCAATTTCCTATCCCTCTTTTGCTTTTTACAAATCATAATGTGCTTAGGCCACAGCCCTGCTTCTTCCTGGCTCTTTGTTATAAAATGCCTCTTCATCATGATTAAGCCAGCTGTGCTGGGCATTGTGTGCCCAGAGAGCCGCCTGGGTTAGGATGTCCATCTGGAAAGATGTCCTGGCGCCTGTCCTGCTCTGTGCCCTCCATCTCTGAGTCCAGCAGGTGAGGGACCAGCCCACACTTGCCTCTGATTGAAGACCTCGGGGAGCTCCCTTACGGAAGTTGGTGATGGCACCCAGGACTGGGGCTCACTGCCTCTGAGCTTCCAGTTCTGCTGAAAGTAGAAACTCAGAGGGCTTCTACTGTTCCTTCTTCCTCCAAGGCTCAGGCACCGCTGCTGTGGTTTCATCTGTGAGGGACCAGGGCTCTTAGACCCCACCCACTGCAGCGCACACAACATGGTGTCAAGGAGGGTGGAGAGCGTTGACTGACACTCTAACCATGTCACCACGGGGATACTTCTGGATCTCAGGTTTTCCTCTGCAAATGAAAACATGATGGTGGTGGCGGTAGTGATGAACGGAAGTTTTAAAAGGATCCTCTGTCTCGCATATTCCAGGATCTGTGAACCTAGGTTGGATTTCTAGCCAGAAATAGAAACTAGACTTCAGTTTCTGACTCTTACCCACCGGTGTGTGTCCTGAGCTGTCCGGGTCTCCAGCTCTTGGCCAACCTTTTGCAAATGCTAGCCTTGCAGTCTTAACGAATGAGAATAAAAAGGCAAGTGGTGAAAAATTCTACCTAGGTTGTCATCTTAAGAGCATGGACTCTGGGAACAAATTGCTTATGTTTCATCTCTGCTTGCACTGCTTAGGTATGACTTTGGGCAAGTTACTTAAGCTCTCAGTGTGCAGGTTTCCTCATCTGTGAACTGATGTGTCATCTCTGAGAGCACCATCACATAAGGTGGTTGTGAGGATTGAATGACCCGGTACAATGCCTAGTATAGCGTACGCTCTGTATGTTAGTTATAACCTTGGTGATGGTGATGATAATATCGTTATCTTCCTCCTTTGAAGAAGCCAAGAATGGTGGAAAGGAAATGAGGCCAGGAGTCAGGACACCTGCTGCTGACTAGTTGTGTGATGTGTTGTTGTGTACCGTGGAATCAGAATCAATCCATAGCTGACTCTCTAGCGGTTTTCGGAAGCTGTAAGTCACGTGGGAGGAGATTGATTGCCCATCTTTCTCCCGAGGAGCAGCTGGTGGATTCACATCATGTGCCTTCGCTTTGGCGGCGTGATTCCTTGCCACTAAGCCCCCAGAGTTCCCTCAGCATGTGATAGAGAGTGCCTTATTTTTCATAGCTGTGAATTGGAGGTGAAGATGTCACCTCTCTTCAGGGGAGCCATGAAGATGCCCAGTGAAATAAAGCTATGTTAAATTCCTTCAGCTCCACAAGCTGGGCTAAAACTGTTCTTCCTCTCCTTCCAGGCACACATTCTGGCAGTTCCGTCAGGAGAACCCCAAGACTCGGGTAGGGGGCCCTCCCCCTGAGGGGCTCCCCGGCTTTAACAGCGGGGTGATGCTTCTGCATCTGGAGGCCATGCGCCAGTCCCCGCTCTACAGCCGCCTGCTAGAGCCGGAGCAGGTCCAGCAGCTGGCAGACAAGTACCACTTCCGCGGCCACCTTGGGGATCAGGACTTCTTCACCATGATCGGCATGGAGCACCCCGAGCTCTTCCACGTGCTGGACTGCACCTGGAACCGGCAGCTGTGCACCTGGTGGAGGGACCACGGCTACAGCGATGTCTTTGAGGACTATTTCCGGTGCGAGGGCCACGTCAAGATCTACCACGGCAACTGCAACACCCCCATCCCAGAGGATTAGTGTGCGCTCTGCATCTGGGGCAAGGAGAGGATCAGCTGTGGGACAGGCCCTCAGACAGCGTCGGAGAAGAGACACCATACAACCGACCTTTGTGATCCAGGTGCTGGAAACCTACCCTTACAGCCACCCAGAGAGTGCTGGCCTGCAGAGCGCTGGTCCTCGAGATCTGTTCAGGCCAGGGGACCAGGCCTCATGAAGGACAGTTAATGGCAAGTGTAGATACTTAACCCCCCAATTGAGCTAGAAAGCAGTGAATGAAGAAGAGGCAAGAAAGAAAACAGTATTTCTTGCCTTCAGTCACCACAGACAGAAACCTTGTAGAGAACCAGCCTTTCTTGGACCAGAAAATAAATATAAACTGACAGGCTTCCATCATTTTTCAAGAACATACACATGCTACAGCTTCAGTGCTCAGTCTATTGTAAACACATGAGACAGGTTTTTAATAGCCAGCCCAGCGCTGAAGCATCCAAGTAAGTGAAAGCTGCTTTTCACGTCCATCAAGCCAACCTTGTGCTTTCTCCCCGAAGGCTCGTGTTACTTGATGTAAGATTAAAGACGACCACCTCTTCAGAGTGTCCCCTTGGGGCCTACATAAAGACTATTGTCATTACTTTAGGACACATAACATTTTATCCCCTAACTATATCCTGGAGCCTGAGCCTACTATCCCTTATATATCCACGATGGCTCCAGGTGACCGGACTATGCTCAGAATCAACACATCACCCCACTGATGTATAAATGGATTGTGTGGGCTGAAAAGGCTCGTTCCAAAGAGCCCAGGTCATCCGTCCGCGAGTGCACCTGTGTGAGTGTGGGAGAGAACATTGCTCACAGGCCCATCAGCCTCCCAGGCTCTGTGTTTAAAACATCATTCTTGTGACTTTCACATCAGGCCCAATACCTTAGTAGCAATTAGATTGTCATTTCCAGCTTTCTTTTTAATGGTCCAGCAGAGGTCCTTGAGGGGAGAAATTTTGTTGGATGCTTAGCTTACTTTGTTTCCATTTCATGTGCTTCTTTCCTTCCGCCATGAACTAGAACAGCTAATAAATAACCTTTGAGAATACAATGATTTATGCCAGTTGTTCCCTGATCACAGTTCCCAGCTGCAAGGAGGCTCTGAATCAAGCGTGTAATCAACGTCATTCAGTCTTCCTGGCCTTCCTTCTCGTGATTAAGCCAGGCGTACTCGCAGCGAGCTTCAAGGCTAAGAAGGGAGCTGGTCTGGAGGGGTCGTGAGGAGGATAGTGTTGCTATATTAAGTCTAAAGAATCCTTTCATTTTATGTGTTTGCAGTGCCATGTGCTCCTGGAAGCAAAATGATCCCATCCTTTCACTTTTTCCATCCCCTTCCCCCAAACTATCGATGTGCATCCTCTCCTAACCAGGTGGAAGCCATTTCTCTCTGCTGTGACAGAAGTGGTCTGTAGTTCATTTTCTGCTTACAGTTTTCAAGCTCTAGCAGGTCAGTGACAGGAAGACTTTCAATGAGATAAATTAGCCACAGTGGCTGTAACGGTGGGCTCGAGGATGGCAGAGTTCATGAGGATGGGTTGGGCAAGATGCCAATCTCTTGTTCATAGGGTCATAGGGTTCATAGGGTCAACTCAATGGCACCTACCTGTAACCACCAGCAATATTTATTGTTATTGTTCCATGCCATCGAGTTGCCTGTGATTCGTAGCGACCCTATATGTACAGTAGCTCTGAAACTTGCTCTATCCTGAGCCACAGACACACCTATACCCATTACCCCAATTATTGTGTCAATCCATCTCGTCTGGGGTCTTCCTCTCCTGTACTGCCCCTCCACCCTTCTGAATATGATGTCCTTCTCCAAGGATGGGTCCCTCCTGGCCACGTGCCCCAAGTATGTGAGATGGAGCTTCAAAATCCTAGCCTCCAAGGGAACACTTGGTTTCACCTTCTCCAAGACAGATCCATTTTTTCTCTTGGAGATCCATGTATGTTCAAGACGCTTCTCCAGCACCACAACTCAAAGGCATCGATTTTTCTTCTGTCGTCCTTAATCATTTATCCAGCTCTCTGATACATAGCAAGTAATTACAAAACCAATGGCCTGGATCAGGCACACTTTAGTTTCTAGACTGACATCGTTGCTCCTTAGCACTTTAGAGAAGTCCCTGACAGCTGATTTCCCAATGCAGTTCATCTTTTGATTTCCTGACTGTTGGTTCCAAGAATGTTGATTGTGGAGCTGAGCAAGCTGAAATTGTTAACAAACTCAATCTCTTCTCCATTTATCATGGTAATGGTGCTGCCTTTTGGTCCAGTGGAGAGATTCCGTTTTCTTGATGTTGAATTTTAATCCATATTGAAGGCTACAGTCCTTGACCTTCTGCCACAAATACTTCAGGTCTTCCTCAGTTTCAGCAAGCAAGGTTGTGTCATCTGCATAAGGCAGTTGAGGAGTCTTCCTTGAATCCACACTCCTCCAGTGATGCCACACTCCTCCTCATAAAGCCCAGCCTCCCAAATGATTTGTTCTGCATACAGATTGGGCAAGTGTTGAGACAGGACACATCTCTGATGCACTCCTATCCCAGTTTTGAACCATACAGTGTTTCTTTGTTCTGACGACTGCTTCTTGGTCTAAGTATAAGTTTCACGTGACAATCAAGTGTTCTGGGATTCCCATTCTTCTCAAGGTTAAACACAATTTGTTGTGATCCACACAGTCAAATGTTTTTACATACTAAATGAAATACAGACAGCCATAAAAATTTAGAATAGTTAATGACATTTTTAAGGCTGCTGATTTATCAGATGCTCACTGTGTGCCAAGCATTGTACTGGATAGTGTATACGTTGGCATTGTTAGGTGCCATCGAGCTGACTGTGGCTCATAGGACCCTATGAAGAGAAGGAATGTGACACCAAAGCTACATACACTATCAGTGTTCTTCATAAAAATATCAAGGAGGTAACTCAAATTCTGGTTTTTGCTATAAGAAACAAGAAATCCAGGCTGAGCCTTGTACTGCATTTTCATCACAGTGTTTTTGTAATGGAACTAAAAGTTGACTGCGACTTGAATCATTGAGTAGGGAAATGGATAAATGGGGTATACACATCCATACAATGGACCTCTTTGGGTGCCCATAAAAATCATACTTTAAGAATATTTACTACTCTGCAAAATGATACAATGTGTTATTAAGAATGCAAACTATAAAATGATATGTGTTGTATGTATCTGACTTTTTAAAAATTACATGTCCATATGAGTTCACATCTGTGTGTTTGTGTGTATAGAAAATAAGTGAGAAAACCTGTCCTAGTAAGTACATAGTTGAACTTCTAAGTTGAACTATAGTTGAACTCCTAAGAAACCATGTGTTTCAAATACTGTATTATTAAAAAACTCTTAATGACAAAAAAGTGGGTTAAAAGCTAGCAAATTTTAGATGTAAGATAAGAAGCATATTTTTCCTTACATAATTTCAAAAATAAAAGTATTTCTTCTATAGCTATGAGTGTATTTTATTATTGCTAGGGAAAAATAATAAAGGACTTGATCCAAAAGTTCAGATGCTAAACAAAGTTTCTTCATATGTGTTTTGGTTCACTCACCCCCCCCCCCTCCCAACCCACCCCCAGTTCTCCTTCATCTGCTGCCAGTCGCTTTGGTCTCCCAGCTTCCTGGTGACGAGAATACTCCACAGGTAATCCAGCCAGACCAACAAGCACCTGTGTGTTCCTGTGACTTACCTCAAGCAGCTTTTGGTCACATCTTGGAAGTACTATTTGTGATCGAGATCCTGTTAAAAGACAACACAATCAATCAATCAATTGTATTATCTCTAAGTTGCCTCATGAAAGTTTTCACTGTGAGAGTACATGTCCGTCGAAGGAAGAGAACAGAGGTCTGAAGAGAGAACATTGGTGTTTTAGGATTAAGGTGATTATTTTTAGTGTATGTTTTTCTTTTCCACAGTGACTATTAATTGCTTTATAATACAGACTCTGTGTGTGTGTGTGTG